TGGTGGCTCACGTTTGTAATCCCAGCACTTTGAGAGGCTGAGGCAGGCGGATCACGAGGTTGGGAGTTTGACACCAGCCTTTCCAATATGGTGAAACCCCATCTCTACTAAAAATACAAAAATTAACCAGGTGTGGTAGTGCACACCTGTAGTCCCAGCTACTTGAGAGGCTGAGGCAGAAGAATCTCGTAAACCCGGGAGGCGGAGGTTGCAGTGAGCCAAGATCATGCCACTGCACTCCAGCCTGGGCAACAAGAGCGAGACTCCATCCAAAAAAAAAAAAATTCCTGCTCACACATCACCTGGCTTTAGCACAAGTACATGGGAATATAATTCCCACCTACACATCACCTGGCTTTAGCAGTTATCACCTTTTGGCTGATCTTTTTCATCTGGGTCCCTGCCACTTTCCTCTATATTATTTTGAATCAAATCTCAGATACTATGTTCGTCAGCTTTTTAAATATCTTTAAAGGGTAATAAGAACTGTGTCATTGTCACACCTAAAAAATATTTTTTTTATTACTACCAAGATTGTAAACAGTGTTCATATTTCCAGTTATCTGTCATGAATGTTTTTAATTGTATGAAGAAAGGGAACCTTGTGGGTTTGTTCGTTTAAACGGTCGGAAGTTTGGAATGAGATTCCCAACTTGGAAGTCTAGCATCAGTTCTCAGGATGTGACACACAGAGGTAGCTCTGTGTTTTGACACTTTTATAAAAAATTATCATCTTGGTCAGATAAGAGTTTGTTGACTTCTAGGAGGATCTCTTTTCAGGCTAGTGGAAATACGAGGCAGAAACTGGGGTTAAGCTGGACAGCGGGGATCCCATTCGGCAGTGTCCTCCTTTGGGTACAGCTGAAGGCACCTGCTGGTGTCTGGCTGCTGCATGGCAGTGGGAAATGAAGGAGGTGGTGTGGCTGGGGGGAAGGGAGCCATCCAGGATGACCCTTGACCTCCTCCATCCCCACAGTTATTTCATTTGAGACAGCCTTGCCCCACCCGCCCCTCTCTGAGCTGACTCCTCATTGCTTGCCAAGACTGCATAAAATGTTGCTATGTTGGTGGTTGGTTTTCCTGTGATTTTTTTTCCCCCGAGGCCAGGCACCTTATGGGGAGGGCTGGATCTGTCCTGATCATCTCCGCTGTGACAGGGCATGGCCCCATGTTGATGGTGAATAGCCTCTCTGTGATGGTGTAATGCCTCAGTCACCATGACTAGTCACATGTGTGCCCACCACACACCATGCTTCCTTTTTCCATTCCTTCCCTGAGTTAGCTAGTGACTTAGGGAGAATTGGACTGTCCCAGGTCTCTTCCTGGGAGTATCAGTACATGGCTAGACAAACACTACCTTTTCCTTTATAATTCTTTGATGGCGTTCACGCTACCTTTTTCTTTTTAATTAAAGAAAATGTTATACAACCTCGTTGTGGTGTAATTGACATACAACTAAGCGTACAGATTTAAAGCTTCAGTTTGATGAGTTCTAACATGTATACACCTGTGAAGCTTTCCTTTTCACTTTCCTGTTTTAGCCTTCTTAAAGACCAGGAGATGAGCAGCCAGAGAAGGGAACTCTGGAACTGCTCTTGTCTTGAAACTTTGCTTTTCCAAATCCTAATGGAAAATCTGTGTATTCTGCTTTCCTTTGGCTAAGCACCAGTATTAAAAGTTGTTGTATTCAAATTTTGGCAGTGTTTCTGTTTACGGTTAACATAGCAGTGAGTGAATTTCAAAATATAGGAAGCCCTGGAGGAATCTTTTCTTTCCTCAGATGGAGACTAGCTGAGGTTGGGAGTTGCCTGGTTTGGGTCGAAGGGTCAGGACTCTGGATGCAGACAGATGTGGGTGTGAGCACCCACTTTGCTGTGCAGGACAGGACCACCTATTGTTTGGCCTGCCGCAGGTCTCAGCCGCAGCACCTCCCACTGTGAGACCTAGAAGGGCCTACAGGGGAGTCTGAGAAGGCTAACGCTGAGGCCTTCATGTTACTTAATTGATACAGTGTGCAGTATTTAGGTGGAAAAGCCCAGACTTCACCACTGTGCAATATATCCATGTCACAGAATTTCTCTGGCACCTGAAACAAAAACCCCAGACTGGTGAATTTCCTAGGGGGGCAGTCATTCTCTTTCCCTTTCAAATTAAAACGAAATATATAGACCAGGTACATATATATACAGGCTCACACCTGAAATCCCAGTACTTCGGGAGGCTGAGGCAGGAGGATTATTTGAGACCAGGAGTTTGAGAGTATCCTGGCCAACATGGCAAAATCCCGTCTCTACTAAAAATGACAAAAATTAGCTGGGTGTGGTGGCACATGCCTGCAGTTCCAGCTACTCGGGTGGCTGGGGCATGAGAATTGCTTGAACCCAGGAGGCAGAGGGTGCAGTGAGCTGAGATTGCACCACTACATTCCAGCCTAGGGAATAGAGCAAGACAAAAAAACAACACACGTACATATTGCTAAACACAGCCCAATTGTGTAAAATGTTTTAAAAATTAACTTTTATTATTATTATTATTGTTTTGAGACAGGGTCTTTCTTTGTCGCCCAGGCAGAATGCAGTGGCGTAATTACAGCTCACTGCAGCCTTGACCTCCGGCTCAGGTGATCCAAAATTCTTTATACTCAGCTCATTTCTTAAAACTTGAGTATAATTTATGCACAAAACACCCACATATTAAGTGCTCGACTGGGTGGGTTTTGACAGTTGTACATGCCCATGGAACCACCACTCCAAATAAAACATGGAACACTTTGATCATCCGAGAAGGCTTCCTTCGCCCTCTCCCCTCTCTGATTTCCGTCACTGTAGGTAAGTTTCTTTGTTGTTAGGGAATAAATGGGATCGTTGCTATTGTGCCGTTCTGTTTCTGGCTTCTTTGGAAAGCTCAGCATGGTGTGAGATTCATCCATGTTTTTTCCTTTTGATTGCTGAGTAATGTTGATAGAAATATATCATGATTTATCCTTTCTCCAGTTGATGAAGATTTGGATTATTTCCCATTTTTGGCTATTAGGAATAAGACTGAACACTTTTTACAAGTCTGTCGTGGACCTGTGTTTTCATTTTTCTGGGGGAAATATTTGGGAGTGGATTGCTGGATGTTGGGGGACGTGTGCCTGGCTTGCGAAGGTGCTGTCTGACACGGGCAGCGTGAGTGCTCCACCCCTCCTGCTCTCACCCATGGGAATGTGAGATGCCATAAGCACTTGTATGGACGTTTGATTTACATAGTAGAAGTTAATCCTTTTCAGCGTACAGTTTGGTGTGTTTGGACAGTTGTACACCTGTCTCTTATACACATCTAGATGTGTATAAGAGACAGCTTTTGGAAAGGTTCTCGCTTGCCCGTCTGGCTCCTGCACCATTGCTGGGGTTTTGATGACTGTGGATTAGGTTGGTCTTTCCTAGAGCTTCTGTCAGTACATGCATCCAGCATGTGTCCCTGTATCTGGCTTCTTTGACATGGTGTGGCTCTGCGATTCATCCATGTGCTTGTATGGATCAGCAGTTTGTCCTTTGCTTGCTCAGTCGGATTTGTATGGATGCACCACCGTGTGTTTACCCATCTGTCTTCTGGTGGGCGTTTGGGCCATTGCCAGCTTTTGATCATTGTGAATACAGCTGCTGTGAACATAGCTGTCCAGAGACCCTCTCCCTCCCCTGAGACCAAGCCCCTCTTCTCTGTTGGGATCAGGAAGGGACACCTAACTGCTTATTCAGCAAACTGAATCACTTTACTAGATCGGGCCTCTTTATCTGCTTCTGGAGGTGGGTTGGTGGCCAGCAGTGTGCAGGGCTTTGGGGAATGGCTGTCTTGGTGCCAGCTGCTCCTCGCTGTTGGCTAAGAGTGCCTTCCTCTCGAGTCTGCTCAGTCACCCTCCACTTCAGCTTGCCAGGCTTCAGCATGCTGTCTTCTCTTCCGTTCTTGGTGAGTTTTATGTCTTTTTTCTCTTAATCTGCTTTATCGTCATTTTCATGTCATTTTATGTGGGGACAAAAGCAAGTATGTGTGTTCAGCCTTCTCTCTTGACCCAGAGGGCTTTTTACCATAGAGTGCTTAGCCTGTCCTGGTGTTGGGCAAGCATCTCCTGTTTTTGCCGTAACAAACACCACTATGATGAGCAAGCTTACAGTGAAGTCTCTGTGTGCGTAGATCCATGTGCACTGCTTTCAGACAGACTTCTAGAAGTGGAATTGTGGGATTAAAAGGCATATATACTTTGGATGCCAAATTTAGCACCAGGAAGGCCATTCCAATTTTAATTCCAGCAGGACAAGACAGTTTTTATTTCCTGTCCTGTGTGAGCATTCCATCTGTAGAACGTTCTCCTTTGGTATTTTTTCCTCCTCCCCAGCACCCTGCCGCCACACACACGTGCATGCACACACGCACACAAAGTGAGAAATGAAGTCAGAACTTAGTGGAGGAGAGTGGGGGCGGCAGTGGCAGCAGGCCTGGCGAGGTGCGTGGGGCTGACACGCCACTTGGCTCCTCCCTGCATGTGTCTCTCCCTGTGCCTGGACCAGCTTGGGTGAACTCAGGCCATTGCCTTGTTTGTTTCAGGTTACACTCCTGGCACACCTTACAAAGTGTCCTGTTCCCCCACCAGCGGGGCTGTGCCGCCGTACTCCTCCTCCCCGAACCCCTACCAGACTGCTGTGTACCCCGTGCGAAGTGCCTACCCGCAGCAGAGCCCGTACGCACAGGTATGCTTTGGGTAGACACTGTCGTGTGGGAAGGGTTGATACCAACTGAGCACTCATCCTTTGGCCCTGGGACCCTGTGTCAGTTGTCTCTCTTCTCCCCACAGCAAGGCACGTACTACACACAGCCGCTGTATGCAGCACCTCCTCACGTCATCCACCACACCACGGTGGTGCAGCCCAACGGCATGCCGGCAACAGTGTACCCTGCTCCCATCCCCCCTCCTAGAGGCAACGGGGTCACCATGGGCATGGTGGCTGGGACCACCATGGCCATGTCAGCAGGTAAGTCCTTGTTCCTGCGGTGTCTGCCTTGTGGTGTCCCCTAGAGGTGGGGCAGGGGAGAGCTCACAAATCCTCTGAGCCTTGGCTCTGGGTTTTCATAGCTATAGTTGTGTGGAAGGACAGAAAATTCTTTGGGAAAGAAACAACAGGTTATCTTTTATTTTGCCTCCCTGAGTGACCTCTTGTGGAGGCCTCTCTGAATCTGATGGGCTCACTTTTTTGGTGAACTGAGCCATTTGGCAGTGCAGGATGTGCCCCCCTCTCCTCCCACCCCCACGACCATGTAAGACTTGAGCAGAAGGAGGACACTGTGTGTCCCGGGGTGGCTGGCCCTCTTCCTGTCCCTTGAGGGGAGCTTGTCTTTGAAGGTCAGTTGTCTTCATAGGGATGTTTTCATGCATCTAGGAGAGCTGGTCTTCTGTTGATAGAAGGAACAGCTGCCTGTAGAAATCCTTTGGCATTCATCTATTGTACTTTACTTCCCAAGGCCTCCTCTAAGAAAAATAAACCATGGAGAGATGAGGCTCCTGTCTAGGATGGGCACATCTCTGTGGAAGCTCTGGGGGCTTGATCTGATGTCTAGGGATTGGGTGACCACCCATATGGATCCACCTCCTGGTCTGTGGGTCAATATGGCCACCTTTAGGTCATGCCCACACAAAAGCGTACTGTTTCCTCCTTGTTTTTCTGGACTTGACTTCAGTGTAAGGAGATTATGCCAGAGAGAAGCATTCTGGGATATTATGTGTGCTTCAGCCTAGACTCTGATTTGGTTTTCCCCATACTTATCTGTCAAGGAACAGGAAACTGGGCGTAGACAGAAACTGCTGGTTTGAGGCACAGGGAGGGAGGGCAGCGGGCACCGGGCACCGGGTTGGGTGTGGGCCAGGTGAGTGAAGGCCACTGTGTTGGAGGTGCTGCTGGTCCATAAATGGACTCAGGTAGTTGCTGAGTTTCTGCAGTTGTAGGAAAAATAGATTTTTCTTAAAAGAACTCAGAAGTTCATGTAGTTTAGAATCATCATTTCTTGTTTTATTTATTTATTTATTTATTTATTTATAATATTTCTTTAAGACAGGGTCTCACCCTGTTGGCCATGATGGAGTGCAATGGTGTGATCTCAGCTCGCTGCAACCTCCGCCTCCTGGGTTCAAATGATTCTCCCTCCTCACCCTTCCCAGTAGCTGGGACTACAGGCACCCGCCACCACGCCCGGCTAATTTTTTTTGTACTTTTTGGTAGAGATGGGATTTCACCATGTTGGCCAGGCTGGTCTCGAACTCCTGACCTCAGGTGATGCACCCGCCTCGGCCTCCCAGAGTGCTATGCTTACAGGCATGAGTCACTGTTCCCAGCCTCTTGTTTTTTATTTATTTGTTTTTACCATCTTAACTTTTTGTTGTTGTTGTTGTTGAGACAGGGTCTTGCCCTGTTGCCCAGGCTTGAGTGCAGTGCACTGTAGTCTGGAACTCATGGGCTTAAGCCATCCTCCCAACTTAGCCTCCTGAGTAGCTGGGACTGTAAGTGTGCTACCACACCTGGCTAATTTTACAACTTTTTTTGTAGAGCTGGGAGCTCACTATGTTGCGCAGACGCATCTCAAACTCCTGAGCTTAAGCTGTTCTCCCGCCCCAGCCTCCCAGAGTACTGGGATTACAGATGTGAGCCCTGTGCCAAGCCCATCTTAACCGTTTTTAAGTACGGTTCAGTAGTGTTAAGTATATTCACATTGTTGTGAAACAGAGCTCCAGAACTTCTTTATCCTGCAAATCTGAAACTCCTGTACTCATTAAACGCTAACTCCCCATTCTCCTTTCTTTCTGTCTCTGAATTTGACTAGGTATTTCATCTAAGTGGAATCATAAAATATTTGTCTTATAGTGACTGGCTTCTTTCTTTTAGAATTATGTTCTTAAGGTTCACCTATATTGTAGTATGTGTCAGAATCTCCTTCCTTGTTAAGGCTGAATTATACTCATTTGTTTATCATCTGACCTATAAAAATTATTGGGTGTGCTTTATGAAGGGGACACACAAAAGACTTTTACAAACATATTGTCTGTGGAAGCTTGCTGTGTGGAGACAGTTTTTGGGTGTGGGAGATTATCTAATGAGAGTCTGACAGTATCTGGGTCAAGACTGTCCCTCTTCCTGTATACCCTCCTCCTTGCAAAGAGTCCAGGCTTGTGTGCGTGTTGGGCACTGTGGAGCTCTGCAGGAGGTCGGCCTCATGTCATGTGCTGCTCTTTCTTCCAGGTACCCTGCTGACTGCTCACTCCCCAACTCCTGTCGCCCCCCACCCAGTCACTGTGCCCACATACCGGGCCCCAGGAACACCCACTTACAGCTATGTGCCCCCTCAGTGGTGATCACCTGCAAATGTAAGTGACCAGTGAAGGCTGGGCCAGCCTTTGATGAAAGGGCATTTCCATGGGACAGTGGCAGATTTACCACATATTTAAGCACTAACGAGGAAAGTGTGCCTGACCCTGGATCCAGAGGCAATGCAGTGTTTAAGTTTTTTGTTTTTATTGAGACATTACAGAGTAGAAGAAAGAAGGAACCATTGATTACCTGCTGTTGACACTGTCCGTCTTGAGCCTTCCCTGGAATGTGCTGTGACCCCCCCACCTGCCTGCTGCAGGAAATAGGGCTCTAGTTGTAATTGGGGATCTCTAGGAAGGAAGTGAGAACCAGGTCCAGCAGTTTTGCCCATTGCTGCCCTTTCCGACCGTGGTGGACCTCGTCCTACTTGAGAGTTTGGAGTAGCAGTGCCGGAAGAGCTCTGTGTGACTGAGTATCTGTCTTCCTTTCTGCAGGTTTGAGGACGGAGCTGTGCAGTCACATTATTGGGGATTCCACAGCTGGTGCTGCAGGCCTTGCGCCTCCAACCAGGACTTTCTTCTTAATGCTCTCGACACTTAGCTAAACACGACTATATCCCGGCCCAGCAGGCCCCAGCGCCGTTAGTCTCCAGCTGACTCTGTGGGTTGGTCTTAAAGCAAATTCTGTTTTGTGGACTGCCTGGCAATTTTTTAGCTAACTGTAATGATAAAAGGGAGTATTAATCTATTCTGAATCATATCTAGTTGAATGCATGTTTAAAAAAACAAACACAAAAAGCTTGCTCAATCTACCTGCAGTGACTGATGCAAAACCATCATATGCAAAATCCAAAGGAATGGAAACGTATTTTACAACTTGTATCACTAATGCACTGTTGTAATGTTTGCAAAGTCTTCAAGTTATAAGTGTTAAAGTGAATTTCTTCATAGAGCATCTGAAATACCTTAGATGATTCTTCAACCTTTTGGGGTTGATGTGGGTTGCCAGTTAGGGATGTGGACATTTTAGTTTTCAGCAACCTGTTTCTTTGGCACTGACTGAGGGAGTTGCGAGGTTTGCGAGACAGTGGGGAAGCCACAGCTGCTTGGGCGCAGCCGGTTCATGGGCATCCCTTTGAGTGTAGGCTTGGTGGAGTCAGTGGGACAGGGACATGCTTATAGCTCACCATGAAAGATCATAGTAGCGTGGCCAGTACAATTTGGGGCAAGGGGGGTGGTTTTTGTGTCGGCAAAGCAGTTTCTCTGCTATCTAAATTTTCATTACAGTTCTCTTACAGAGAGACGATGTTTTTATATATCTTTATTGGGAAAGTCCTATGTAAAACTAAATTATTTTCCTGGGATGGAAGAAATGTGAAAGAGAAACAGCCATGCTTGCAGGAGGTATTGTCCTCTGCTTTATTTAGCTTAGAAAATCATTCCATTTTTTTTCCCCCTGGAGAAACGTTTGAATCAGTTGAAAACAGGTAGGCATTGCTGTTTTTCCCCTACAAAGAAAGACAAAGGTTTCAGCTGTATGTTATGAAGAAAGTGGTATATTTAAGAATGACTTAAAAGGGAACAAAACTTTATTTAAAATTCCTCCAATTTCTTGTAGAAAGGCAGGGCCGTGGTTATGTCTGGAAATGTAGAAACCTGTAGCTGCTGCTGGGATCAGCCACCTGATGGTGGTGACTGGTCTGCTGAGGCGGGCTGGAGGGGACGCTTAGAGATGGGTGAGGGGGGGCCAGTGTCTGTTGTCTGTGAGCCGCTCCTGCCATCTCTTTTGCAGCTGAGGGCCCTTGGCACGAAGCAGGCACGGACAGCAGAGAGGGCCAGGCGGTGCTGGAGTGCGTCTGCTGGCAGGGTTTATTGTGGGAGAGGAATTGGAGTTTAGAATCTGAACCTTGTACATAAGAAATCAAGAGGCTTCCCCCACCCCGCCCCCAAAGTATGCCCACCCTGTATCCATGAGAGCACGTGTCTGTCCTCGGGAGGGTCGGAGTGGGGGTGGGGGATGGAAGGCCTGGGTCCCTTTCAGTGGCTTCTGGGGCAGGAACGTGCATCGTCTTCCCAGTGAGGTGGTGGTTTGAGTGCTGTGGGCTCTGGTGGGGAGGGGGCTCTGCTCCTCCCATTTTGCTGGTAGCTGGGTCAGGGCACTGGCGCCCAGTGAGGATGCCCACTAGCGTTCTGCCCCAGTTGGTTGGTGGGGGGACACCTGACCACTGAGCCTTTGGTAACCTTATTTTTTATAGTAAGTACTCCTCATACTTTTCTTTTTCACATCTTATTTTATAAGAAATTTAGAATATTTTTGCATGGATCATTGTAAACAACAGATTCTTGATTCCTGATGTCTATGAACATAGAATGTTTACTGAGAAGTACTTTCAAATGCTTCATGAGCGCTTACTCCGTCTTCGTGTCTGTGTGGGGGGCAGACGCTCGCCGCTAGTGTCTGTGGTGGGGGGCAGATGCTCACCGCAGGCACGCGGTTCGGGCCCCTTACTTCAAGTCTCTGTTGCTAATTCCATCTGTTTAGTGGACGGTTGGCGGGATTAGTAGGTTCTGAGGGTTCCAGGGGTTCAGCTGACCAAGTAGCAGAGAAGTCTTTTTTCCCAATTGAGTGCTAATAGATTAGGAGAAAATACTCACAATTTTAGTGTATGCTTTTAAAAAGCTCCACACAACAAAAATTGAAACATACACCCACAGCTCCTGTGAGGGCTGGAGTCTTGGGGTTCGGGAGGAGGGTAGAAGTTAACAGGCATCTCTTCAGGCTTGCTTGGGACTTGGCACACACAGGATGAGTGTTTTTACAAGCGCCGAATTAAATGGTGTTTTAAAGAGTGGGCGGCATCCCCCACACACATACGCCATTTACATCAGCTTCATCAACACTTTTCTTCCTCCCTGTAACTTAACCTTTTTTCCCTTTTGTGAAGTTCAGAGGCTTTATGAAATAAGTTTGCATTGCACATCTGTGCAGAAATTTTTCTGACTTTGAAACTGTCAGGACATCAGCTGTCAAATACAAAAGGTAGATATCAGGTAAGAATCTGGACTTAGGGAATAGTCACAAAACTGTCATAGGTTGTAATTTTATCAACATTTGCTTCTAGTAAAATTAAAGTTAATTAAGAAATAGAACTTGGGTCAAAATTCTGTTACAAAGCTGCATAATTTGTCCCCAAACATATGGTGGAGCATTCTGAGAAATTTGCTTTTTGTGTGTTTGACATTCCTAATTTGGGAGTCCTTCAGCTGAGTTACTGTTCTTTTAGAAGTTGAGACAGGCAAGCAAAGGACTTAATTCATGTAAACATGGACATCATGATGGCTGTTTAAAAAATATTTGTTCTGCACCTTCTCCCCTGAGGCTTGGGAGTGTGTTCCATCGTCTGTTAGCTGCTGCAGTTTCTCTGCTCATGGAAGTCTTGTTTGGATCTGTGCTGGGGGCTGAGCATTTAGTGTGAGCCAGTGACCCATGAACTTGCCGCTCTGTGAGGGCCAGAGTCAGTGCCAGTCGTGGGAATGGGCATGAAGGCACTTCCAGAACTGTCTATGTCTCTCGTGAGCCATCTGTGAAGAACATTCTTCTTGGTGTGGTTTGCAGGCCTAGCTGTCACTATTCCGGGAAACAAATGCTATGCAAATGTGTTCACAGGAGATAGGGGTGGTCCTGAGCCTTGGGCTGGGCGCCTGGTCAGTGAGTGTCCTGCCCTTCCCCAGCTGGGCTCCTTCTGGTGGCATCATCTGACTGTGATGAATGAGGTCTGGGAAATAATTTGCATGTGTCTTGGGGACACAACAGTAACCAGAGGAAATACATTATTACAGCAACTTGCAGTGTACTAATACCTGTCAGTGTTGGCCCCCGTAAGGTATATAAGGCATCTGTGAGTACCAGTGAGTGCTGGTGAAAGGCCAACAGGTACCAGTTATGTAAGTATTGGTGTCTGCTTTAAAAAAGGAGACCCAGACTTCACCTGTCCTTTTTAAATATTTGAGAACAGTATTACTCGGAGCAGCTGGGCCCCCTTCACCTCACCCGACAGCTGACTGTTGGGTATGTCCATTGCCACCAGTTTGGCTGTTGCCCGGACAGGACAGGACCTGCAGTGGGCACGGCAGCAGGTAGCGGGGCTGTGGCTTGAGGTGGGCGGCAGCGTCTGGTTCTCCTCTGGTGCTTTCTGAGAGGGTCTCTAAAGCAGAGTGTGGTTGGCCTGGGGGAAGGCAGAGCACGCACGTATTTTTCCCCCCAGTACCTGTGCATTTGTGAGTCTTCCCTCTGGGCTTTCTGAAGGGCAGCAGACTCTTGAGTATACTGCAGAGGACATGCTCTATCAGTAGGTCCTGAGGGCGCCAGGGGCTCAACTGACCAAGTAACACAGAAGTGGGGCTGTGTGGCCTTTTTGGTTAGGAAACTGCACGTTTCGGGAAGTTTGTGTCTTTCTCCTATGCCCATTATTTGAAGAATAGAGAGCCTGTAGGGATGGCCTTATTTTGGTCCACAGGACTAACGTGAAGTCACTTGGGAAGGGGAGACAGAGGAGGAGCGGCGTCTGTGTTGGGACCCCGGGCCTGCAGAAGGGTGGTGTGCTCCCAGGACTGGCATGACAGGTGTCTCCTCACCACAGGCTGTGCCCATGAGTCCCTGTGCAGACCAGTGGGCAAGGCAGCTGAGCCAGATCTCGGGCCAGTCGTTTGTGTTCCTGGCAGGGTTGCTGTGCTGGCCACACGGAGAGGTCCCTAGAGAGCCTCATGGATTGTAACTAAAGAAGAAACGGTTCCTTTTTGTTTTTTTTTAAATGATTTTTAAATACCATTTTTTACACCGTTGTCTCGGTACTTTTTTTTAAGCTGAGTCAGCATTGTCTTCCAGTGTTAAAGGCATCCCTCACTTCTGCATTGAACTTACGTATCCATGCCAAGGAATGGAATTTCCATCCTGAGCCAGTTCAATTAGGTGTCAATTGATACTATTTTAATTTTTTATGCAATCTGATAAGTAGATGAGCTCAGATTTAAAAATCTCAAAAGCACGTTTATTGTAACAAGAATTGTTATGTATTAATACTGCAGTTTTCAATAAAGATTGACTTGTGTTGCATATTGTGGTTTTCATGATTTCTCCATGTGGGTTTTGTCTAGAGGTGGCATGACCTGACTGGGAGGTGCTGGGGCTTCGCTCAAGTTGGGAGATTGCCAGGGGTTTTGAGAAGGCCACCATGGCGTCCAGCCCGTGACCTTGGCAGTGCTGAAGAGTGTGGTGGAGGCAGCAGGTTGCCCGGGACCATTTTCCCAAGTGGGACAGGAAGGGAAGCAGCGGCATGCTCCCCTCTGGCTTCTGTGGCCAGGGTCTTCCTGGGAAGACGTGTTCTTCCTCGGACGACCGACTACTCAGCCAGGAACTCACGTGGGCCAGCTCCAGTCAAACACAGGGAAGCAGTGGTTTCTGGGTCTTGAGTGCGAGGGAGGGCAGAGCTACCTGTATCGCCACCAGCATGGCCTGGCCCTGCCCTCCTTCCCCATTGCCGCCAGCCCCACCTTAGCCTGTCTCCACTAAAGCCCTGAGGGTGTGATCTGCGACAGGTGAGCCCCCACCCCACCTTTAGAGGCTGCTGGGCTCGTTCCTGCTTTGTAGGGAAAGGCTAGCAGTGATGGTTAGCAGCCACAGGAAAATGCACGCACACCCACAGCAAACGGGCTGGCAGCCAGGTTACTTTTCATAAATTTATTTACGAAATTAAATGTGGTTTCTGGCTTGGAGAAGGAGTAGTGCAAGAATGACTGTCCATGCTGCTGAATCCTGTGGGCTCCGTGCCCGCTCACCAGGTACTGGCTCTGATCCTGGCGCCCCTTGGCAGGACGGGGCCCCGTCTCCACACACCCGCTGCCTGGGCTGTGGGTCAGTCCTGCGTGCTGAGCCACAGAATTCAGTCTCTTATGGCTTCTCACGCTCACGAGGGTAAGGCAATCTTCTGTGTCATTAACAAGAATCAATTCTTTTTCTCCATTGTTTGAAAAACAAGATGACAAAATCCAAACAAAACCAGGAATGAGGTGGTTCTGGAGCCACCGCACAGCAGCAGGCAGACTGGCCACACTCCCGACTGGGAGTCTGCAGCCGACTGCACCGTCTTGTCCTTTCCACTACACACACACAAGTGAAGAGGGTGTCCGGCAGCCAGCGCTGTCTAGAGGGGCTGGGAGGCGAAGGGCGGGCTCCGGGCCTGACACAAGGGTGTGGAATTCCTGGTTCCTGCCCTCCCAAGTGGCAAGCTGCCTGGCACCACTGGTTGGGCTGGGGACTTGGAAGGAGAACTAGAGGGCAGGGGGGCACATGGCCTGGCATTGCAGGCCACAGAAGGCCAGAGAGTCCTGCCCAGAGGAAATGAGGGAGGTTTAGGTTTCCAGAGAAGAGGGTCCCAGGCAGGTAGCGCCTTCTCCCCAGCTGGGCCTGGGCTGAGCTGCGGTTTCCCCACAGTGAGGCCCTGCACAGGTCCAGAGGGCGGATGGGGCCCAAGCTGCAGGGGGTGTGGCGCGTGCGGGGTCTGCCCCCTTGCTGGTCTCTTCACGGCACCAGCAACAGGGAAAAAGACAACAGGAGTACAGACCTGGCACGTCCTGGTGGTACAAGCAACTCTCCAGCCCAGCCCTGCTCACTTCCAGGCAGAGGAAGGCCAGGCGGAGTGGGCCTTGGGGAAGAAAAACTGGGGGCCACTGGCAGGAAGGCCCAGCAGGTGCCGTCAGGCAGGGACCACTTCACTTGCGGAAGGGTGCCAGCCGGCTGATGCTGTGCCAGAAGGTAGATGGCTTCCGCCTGGGCTCCGCCAGCACCAGGACCTGCTGCTGGGGCCGGCTGCTGGGCAGGGCTGGGTGCTTCTGGCGCGTCAGGTAGCAGGGCCGGCCAACAGCTGAACAGGGAGAGACAGCAGAGAGTCATGGGGCAGAGTGCCAGCCCAGCTGTTGGGGGCAGCACGGGATCTGTCCCAGGGCTCTGCTTCCGAGCAGTTTTGCCACACGGCAGGAGCTGACCACATCCAAGAGCCCAGGCTGCCAGGGGCCTCTGGCCTGGGCCTGGCCTCCTGCAGCAGCCTGAAGGGGGGTGGCCTATGCAAAGGCATGTCATATTTCAGGGGCATGGCTCTCTAGAAATGGGGAGATCAGCTCCGTCCCTACCCTGACCCCGATGCCTGTCAGGAAGGAGCCCTGGGGAAACAAGCGTCGTCACCGATGGCCCTGATCTAGGGGAGCCAAGGTGTTGAGAGTAAGAATGTCAACCACATACTGACCCAAGCTTCCCCAGTGGCCCCTTATTACCAACCTTTGGGAACAAACAGCTTCAAAGGGCAGGGGGTCCCCCTCAGGCCTGGTGGCTAGCTGGCTTGGCTTTGCGGGTCACAGAAGGGAATGTGAGCAAGGGCTGGGCAGCTGAGGAGGTGGGGCTGCTGTTCGCCTACCTTTGGGCTTCCCTGTGACCTGCTGCTTGCTGGCATTCAGCATGGCCTGCTTCCTCTGCAGTTCAGTGATGGAGAAGCCTGAGGAAGGGGCACAGGTGAGGGCGCTGCCCTAGTCCTCCTTGCACTGCACTTCCCGGCCCCAGGTGCAGTTCTCTGGTGCCTGGGGTCTCATCATGTCCTGGGGACTGAGTACTGGCCACAGCAGGGACGGTTCCCCATTCTGCACAGTCAGCCTGCCTTGGCCAACCAGGGCAGAGGGCATGCTCTGGTGCCCTGTCCCGGGGCCCCTGGTAGAAAACGAAGATCCCCGAGTCCTTCCTCTGCCTGCCCATCTCTCACCTTCACTCCGTGTCTAGTGTCTTTTTCCACTGCAGTGGAGGCTCCTTCCCAGACCAAGAGCTGACCTGATCACTGTGGCGGGTAATGTGGGGGCCCGTGGACAGGAGGGAAGTTATAGTGGGGAGACGTCTGCACGCAGGGGCAGGGGAGGCTTCCGAGGCCAGTACCCACAGCCCACTCCGAGGCTCTCCCAGGCTTTTGCTGGCTGGAAAGGGGTCCCCCAGGTCCCAGCAACCCAGGGCACCGAGCAGAGGACCCGGTTCTATGGAGTGTGTGCACATGTAAGCGTGTGTAGTGAAGCAGCTCCCCAAAAGTCAGTAGACCCATGCCTTGGGGCCGAACTCGGAGGAACTGTATCATGGGATACGGTCAGGTAACCCTGCCATTTGAGGTGATGAAGGCAAAGCCTTATGCTGATGACTGGGACCTAGAGGTGCCTGGAGCCCCGCTACAGCTTGCAGCCTGAGAGGGCTGAGCGGCGCTGTCCTGACCGCCAGGCAGCCAGGCAGGCCGGAGTGCCTGGTGGGCCCCGGGGGCGGGACAAGGCCCAGCCGGGTCTCGCACCTGTCTCCTGGTCCAGCTGCACCTGCTCCCTCTCCCTGGCAAAGGCCTTGAGCCAGCGCTGCTTCTGCTCGGGCTTCCTGGTGCACAGCAGGTGGCTGTCCCCTGTGGCACCACAGTGCAGCCGGAAGGCGTTCTTGATGCTCACATGAAGGTCTCTGTCCTTCCCGTCCTCCAGGTCCACCACCTCCAGGCCGTCCATGTCCAGCCGGCCCTTGTAGTACAACACGTCGCGGCGCAGCAGGTCCTGCCAGATGCTGGCCTCAGCCCTGGCTGCTGAACCGCTCCCCTGACCATTTCATGGCCGCTCCCACCTCCTCTCCCCAGCCACAGGAGGGGCTGCTGGCGACGCCTCCACCTCCCCAGCAGATAGTGAGATCCTGAGGGCAGAGCAGGCCTGCTGCAGCCCACAGCCATGCTGAGCCACGAGTGGAGAGGCCTTGCTCCTTGAATGCGCAGGTGCTGACCACCCCGGGGTTGGCCCTGTCTTTGAAGTGGGAGACTAAGACAGTGGCTCACACCACACGCAGGAAAGAGCACCCATGGACAAGGAGGGCTTCATGGACACGAGGCCACTGGGCCATGTTTTGAAAGAGAAGCAGAAGCCAGCAGCGTAGAGGAAACTGGGAGGCGGCTCGAGCAGGGGACTCTGGGGTTGGAGAGAGGGGATGTGGAGGTTTGCAGGGAGAGACGAGGTAGTTTGAGGAGCAAGCAGCGGCCAGGTCAGGAAAGACCATGCTCTCAACAGCACTCGGCCTGGTCAGACTGTGAAAGCTGCCTGCTGCTCCTGGGCCACCAGGCTCACCTGCGGAGAGCCACCCCATCCCAGCCCCAAGGGTCTGGCCAGGCTCCCCGTGTATGGTCTGGCTGGCACCTGTCTTCTGGGCAGCTGCTCCCAGCCCTCAGCTCCCCTCCCTCCACTTGCTCAACTTGGGGCAGCAGGGCAGAGCAGCTCTGGTACCTTCTTACAGTAGATGAGCTGGTGGTCAAAGAGAAAGAACATTCTCTGCTGGCTCTTGGCTTGAGGCTGCGTAACTCGAGTCAGCTCCCCCGAGTAGATGAGTTCTGAGCTCCTGACCAAGAGATCTTCTCCCTGGGAAGATCCCAAGGAGAACCATGAGCCGAGCATACCCAACCGTGGGCTCCACTGCCTGCCCCCATCATGGGTGGGGCACCTCCCCCTGGTCTTGCCTGCAGCACCCACCTGGCCAGGCCACGGTGGGAGGGGAAGAGGTGGCACGTCTGGCCTGTGAGTTGGCTGTCCTGGCAAAATAGGAGCCACCTGTCACCAGCGGCCTCTGGTGGCTCTTGGGCACTGGAAGTGTGGCTAATCCATGTTAGATGTGGTGTCAGTGTAAGATACACATTGATTTTGAAGACTTCATATGAAATACTGTAAAATCTTTCATTAATGATATTTTAGTTGATTACAAGTTGAAATGCTATTTTGGAGATAATTGAAACCTTATTAAAATTAAATTCACTTGTTTCTTTTTTTCCCCTTTTAAAGATGGCTACTCTGTAGTACACGATTCCATAGGTGGCTCACATGCTGGTTTGACTGGACGGTGCTGCCCTAGAGAAGAATGAGGCGTCTGCGATTCACCTCTCAGGCCAGCCTTTGAGATCTCTAAGGAGGCCCCCTTCCCAGCTAAATGCATTGAGTACCCGAAGGTCCATCATCCACCCTTGGGCTTCATACTTTTAGACTAAGCCCTGCCCTGGTCTCATTCCTCCTTGAAAATGCAAGCCCCGGCTGGGAGTGGTTGGCGGTGGCCTGTTTGGGATGAGTGACTCTGGAGGGCCCTGAGCCAGGGCTGGGCCTCACAACTGACTGCCCCTATTGCTCAGCCCCGCCCCAGGGCTTCTGATTCAGTGTGTCCAGGGTGGGGCCATGGAATCTGTATTTTCATAATGTTCTGTGGCTGATACTGATTGATTTCCAGGCCATTTCTCTCCCTGATAGCTGGTGCCTGGTGGTGGCAGCACCCATGTGGGTAGGAAGCCCTCGGGAACAGATCAGGAGGTGGCAGATTGGCAGATGCAAGTGGGGGTGGGTGGAGGGGGACAGGAACATTGTCATTAGTTCTAAGGCAAGATTGGCAGATGCAAGGGGAAACGTGCAAGTCAGACAAACAGAACCAGGAGGCTCTGATGGGTGGCGATGCAGTTTTGGTCACGCTGTGTTGGGCCTGCAGCCTTCTGTTAGGAGTCCCAGAAGTGAACTAAAGCAGGGATCTGGCCTGTCCCCTGAAGGCAGAGGGACAGAACACTTCTGAAGGTTGAACACAACCTTCCTCTGTTGAGGGCTTCTCCTGGGCTGGCTGGCTGCTCATGGGAGGAGTTTCACATAGAAAAGAGGCCACCAGGTGCCAGAGACTGCTAGGGAAGGCAGCACCGAAAGTCCAGAGCCCACGCTGGGATGGGCTTTCCCCCCATGGGCACCTGTTGCTAGCTCCCAGGAGCGCAGCTCCCTGCTTCAGCTCTCTCGTAGATTTTTCAGGGGCAAGCATGACTTTAAAGCAAGGGGCCAAGACCTCCTGGAATTTTCTGCACCCCCGGGCCTCACCTCCCAGTCCTCTATGGAGCTCTGCCACTGAGCAATCTTGTCGATGTTCTCAAGTCTCCGCTTCCGCTCGTTGATGAGCTGGGCCACGTTCTTCATGGCATGCAAGGCAGCTTCAACGTCCTTGAAGTCCCTGGGGCAGAACAGAGATGGAAGGCTGCTGCAGGCTGCAGGCAGAGAAAGGCTGAGGACCCCTGCAGCCCCCGTGCGTGGAGCTGCTTTCCTCTGGGGCTGTGCTCTCTGACCACATCCTACTGTCAGATGCACAGCCCTGATCTTCTCCATAAATGGCAGGCACAGAGCAGAGCTTAATATCCTATTGGCATCCTCTTCCCTCATTGCAAGGAGCTCATCAGAACAGGGCTAATTTTCTGTGTGTTGCCCCAGAGCCTGCAGCAGCACACTGCTAATGCTCAAACTGGCTGACGAGGCATGCAGAGGCGTGGGCTGCCTCCCTGCCTCAGCGCCCTCCTACCTGTGCTGGGGGTGCGTGTATTTGAGCAGCTCGGCCAGCTGCAGAGGGTACTTGCAGATCTTCTGCACCGGAGTCAGCAGGAAGCCATCCAGGGAGATGTCAATCATTTTTTGCAGCAGCCGGCAGGCCTCGAAGAAGTACACGTACTTGCTGAGCTTGGTGAGCCGGGAGAGCTCCACGCAGGCGTTGGGGTGGTTATTGCAGTACTCCGAGTAGATCTGGAAGTCGGCTTGCTGAGGAGCACAGCTGGACGTTAGCAGAGCTCTCTGCTGCTCCCCCAGGCAATCCAGCCGCATGTCTGGGAAGGGCAAGAGCCTCTACATTTCCTTCAGGAGCTGGGCTGGGGGCTAGAGGGAACCCAGGCTCGGTGTACCTATGTCCCTGGGGCGTAAGTTACATGGAGTCACACCCAGGGGTGGGAATGGTGAGAATATGAGCAAGTGTCCCGGCTGCACGTCAGCCTTCTCGGTGAAATCCATGATACCACGGACGGGATAACAATGCCAAAAGCGGCGGTGGTAGAGGGGTGGGATGGGACAGGCATCCTCTGCTCACCCTCACTCGACTGCCCAAGAGGGCCCAAACAAGGCCCTTCTCTACCAGGTGAGGCTAGGTGTCCACTTAGAGCGGCCCAGTGAACCTTGGTAAAGGCCAGCCGGCATCTGCCGCCTAAGCAAGCTGTAAATTCTGTGTGAGGAACCCCAGAGCTCACTCTGAACAGCCCCTGCGGCGCTCAGCAGGCCTCTGCCCTCCTGTCGGCCAAAGCAAGTCCTTCCTGGGGGACGCCCCTGCTCTCTGCTCCCAGCAGGAGCGTTCCCTGACTTGGTTTCCCCACCCAGAAGCAGAGACCCTCCTAAAACTGTCCTGAAGGGTGCAGGCGGCCAGGCAGATAGAGAGCTGGAGCTGGGGCCCAGGCGTTGTGATGCGTTTTGGGACCTGCCGCATTGATGCGGCAGCCTCTGTGAGCGCAGCGCCCAGGGAGGGGCCGGGGTCGTGCTGGTGACGGGCGCTCACATGCTCCAGGAAGCAGGCGCCCAGCTCGCTCAGGTGCGGGCGTTCGCGGTTGAACCTCTGCTCCAGGGCCTTCACGAAGGCCTTCTGGCAGCGGTAGATGTCCTCGATGTTCCCGAAGATGGTGCGCAGCTGCTCCTCGCTGAACATGTCTGCGCGCTTGCGGCACTGCCGGACGTAGCCCTGCGGGCGCACGCGGTCAGGCCTCCCCAGACCGGCTCCGGCCTCCCCCGACCGGCCCCTGCCCCACCCGCCGGCCGGGCCTCACCTCGCAGATGTCGCGCAGGTGCTTGATGTAGTCCCGCTCGGTGCTGAGAATCTCGTTGATGACGTTGGTCCGCATCTGGTCCTTGCTGCTCTGCGCCTCCGCCCCGCCGTCCTCCGCCCCGCCGTCCCTGGCCCGAGGGGCCTCGTCGTCCGCGGGCTCGTCCTGGTTCACCCGCAGCTGCAGGCCACGCGCGACCGGTCAGTGCCCCGCATCCCTCGGAGCAGCGCCCCGCGCCCTGCGCCGCAGCGGCGAGAACCGGGTCTTGGAGACCCCGCAGGGTGCACGGGGCGCGGGGCTGGCCGGCCAACTCCCCCCACCAAGCCACCCACTCAAGTCCTGGACCCAGAGATGGTGGCTCCGACGCCCGCAGCCGCTGTCAGTGTGATCCGAACCCCGCTTTGGCCTCTTTCCTAGACCCTGCTTGTGCCCGGCACAGAGGCTGGAGCGCTCGCTGCAGTTCCTGAACCAGTCCCCGTGGGCACAGGCAGGGGGATGGGTGGCGCGCCCCTGGCTGTCTAACCTGTAACCTGGGGAAAGGCTTGGGGTGCCGAGTGGACAGTTTCCCAGGGGGTCTGGGGCAGGAGGAGCATCTGAACACCAGGGCCTGAGACCTCCCCGCCGGACGGCCCTCAGCTTGGATGCCCTCAGCCAGGCCTTTTGGAGACAGCACCTGGATTCCTTCCTTGAAGACCGGAGACCCCCTTAGATGGAATCCGGGTCCCCTCTCTGCTATCTCCAGGGCTAATAACTTTACCGTGCCTCAACTTCCCACTCCCGGGGCTCCGTGTGAGCTGAGCAGTCCTCTATCAGGGCTCGTCAGGGCTTGGGAAATGTCTAGCACCTGAAGTTGTGGGGGTATCGCAGAGGGGTGCCTAGTGTCTGCACACATTTCTGAACTGCTCTCCTCTCGGGTCGCCCAGGGCTCACCAGAAGCGGGGAGGGAGCAGGAGTAGTGGCTCTTGAGGAAGAGGAAGGCTGTGGCACTGCGCCCCGACACCCACCACCCAGCGCTCTGCACCTTGGATGCCAGAGCTGTTTTGGGCTTGGATTTCTTTGCAGAACCAGGTAGCTTTTCATGGGCCCAACTTGGGAGCAGCTCAGGCTGGAACCATACCCGAACGAAGCTGGCTGGAAACCAGCCCTCGCAGTCGGCGACCCGGCCCCACCACCACTCTCTGTTGGTGGCATCCATCACTTCGATGACATCCCCAGCTTTGAAACCCAGCTCCTGGTCGTCCATGGTGACATGGTCCCAGAGTGCTTCAGCGCAGACCACACTGCCATCGCTGATGAGCTGCCGAGAGAGCCACGGGCAGGCGGGTCAGTGGGGGTGGCTGCCTGGGCCTCCCTGCTCTGTCTCCACTCCCTCAGCAGCCCTAGGAAGAGGGGATTCTGACTCCTTTACAGAGGAGCGGACAAGGCTGCCTCTGACAGGAGCAGGGCTTTCCTGGGGCAGGGGCTGTGTTCTGGGCATGTCTAGATTATCAAGGCTCAGTGATGGAGCCAGAAGTGAACTGACCACAGAATCTGATCCTGTCGCTAGGACTGTCAACTGCTCCCTGTTAGTATTCCCAACCCAGCACTCCTGGGGGCTGCAAGGCTGCAGGAGGGAGGGGCTGAGGGCTGCAAGGCTGTCGGAGGGAGGGGCTGGGCCCTGCAAAGCTGCAGGAGGGAGGGGCTGGGCTGCAAGGCTGCAGGAGGGAGGGACTGGGCTGCAAGGCTGCAGGAGGGAGGGGCTGAGGGTTGCAAGGCTGCAGGAGGGAGGGGCTGGGGGCTGCAAGGCTGCAGGAGGGAGGGGCTGGGCTGCAAGGCTGCAGGAGGGAGGGGCTGGGGGCTGCAAGGCTGCAGGAGGGAGGGGCTGGGCTGCAAGGCTGCAGGAGAGAGGGGCTGGGCTGCAAGGCTGCAGGAGAGAGGGGCTGGGCTGCAAGGCTGCAGGAGGGAGGGCCTGGGGGCTGCAAGGCTGCAGGAGGGAGGGGCTGGGCTGCAAGGCTGCAGGAGGGAGGGGCTTGGGGGTTGGTACCCTCCTGTGGGCTTCTTGCGGATGAGCACTGCCTGTGAGGTCAGCCACCAACCACAATGCCCCTTCATCCAGGTAGACAGTGCCCTGCCATTGGAGTGACTGGAGCTTGTTTGCTGTTTTTCAACACTTGCAGAACCAACCACATGGCACCCCTGCTCCCACCCCAAGCCCCAGAGATGCCAACACCAGCTGACCAATGCCCCTTCTTAGAGCTCTAGGTCCCAAGCCCTGGGATCCTAAGTTTGAGTTATTCCAACCTCTTTCCTTTATTTCCCAGGTTCCAGGAGAAGTAGGAACATTTTGCAGCTGCTACCTCTGTGACAGGCACTTCGGGACTGCTCTTGTGCAGTGCTGCCCAGTCAACCACGTTATACCTAGCTGACCATCCTTCACACGCTTCTCTCTGCTCAAATAACCAGCATGGTGCCTTGCTCCAGAGTGGTGTGGACTGAGACATGGGAGCCACGCTCCCCTGCCCCTCCCAGGCAGCCCTCGCACGCCATGAGGCTGACCCCTGCTTTCTCCTAACATGGGATCTGTTTCTGCTCCCTGAATGATGAGCACTTCTAGGGCCTTAGGGCAGGAAAGGAGGAGTGGGCTGGGGCCTTACAGGAGGTGAGGTCCACGCCCCTCCCTGCTGGAACCAGGTGTTGGCACTGGCTGTCATAGCTGTGGGCCTGGCTAGGTGGTCGAGGATGGGAATGTCACAAATAGGCCCTCCTCTGAGCTGCCCCTATCCCAGGAGCCCTCCCTTCACTTCACCGGGTGCTCCCTCAGCACTGTGTGAATCCTCACCTCAACATGGAAACCAAGAGTGGGGCCAGTCCTGTGTTCCAGCTAAGAGGCCTGTGCCTGAGTGGGCAGGGTGAGGGCTGGGGCTGGCCACTGGAGCACTGAAGCTCCAGAGCCTGCTTGGGATGGTGCTTTCCTCCAGGGCTCCTGAGCAAGCAAGTTCAGGGAAGGACAAACCTCCTCTTTCCTGGGGGCAAAACCTGCTCCAATCCTGATGGAAGCCCTCCTCAGAGTGATCCATGGGCCTGTGAGCACAGGAACCCTCACAGTGTGGCAGCCACCGGGGGGCTGCAGACCTCCAGAGGCCCCGCGGGGTCCCAGGCACAGAGCCCTGGGTTATTCCTGGGGGCAGCAGGCCTCCACAGGGGGCCACTGCTCTCATTCCCAGCCACAAAGACCTTCTGCAGGTGGCCTCCCGATCATGAGCTGCCGCTGCCACTCAGATGGGATGAGACAGGAGGGCTCAGGTGACCATATGGTAGGAGCCTGCCTGCCACGGTGGGGAGCTGGCTCACCCCGCTGAGGCCCTGAAGGATGAGGCCCCAGGGAAAGAAGGAAGCAGACACGGTGGCCTGGGGATGCCAGTGAGAACATGAGCTGTAGGTGACATGGCCCTGACCTGGGATCTGTGACACAGGCTGTGAGGAAGTGACCCGACACACTCAACACAGCTCATTTTCCCATCGCTTCACTTCTCAGGAGGTTCCTGCCTGATATTAACCAGGTGAGGTGTCACCCTCTGTCCCTAGGTTCCCTTAAATGAGCCCTGAGCAAAAGCCTGGTGCCTCCATTCCCCTTTCCTTTATGCTGCCCGTCCCTGCAGGTGAAACTGGATCCTGCATAGGTGGCCTCCCACATAGCTGCCAGGGAAGGTCACCAGGCGTTGGGCAGAAGAAGGGCTTCACAGAGAGACCAGCTTCCAGGCACCATTAGGGACAAGCCCCACACCTGTCCTGCCTAGTCACCTGGAAGACCTTGGGGAGGAGAGGAGGAGGTGTTAATTGCCCTTGTTGCACCCTGGCAGAGGGAGCGTGCCCTGAGCAAGCTCTCCCATCACCTGTGCCTCCCACCAATGTAAGGATCTCAGCCCCGGGTGGCAGAGCTTCTGCATAGCCTCATACTCGGGAGGTTCTCTAATTTAGAGTTAGGAGGAATGTAAACTGTGTTGTCGCCAAGACAAAATGTGGCTCTGTGAGGTCAGAGGCAGTTTTGTAGGACATCGGAGTCATGCTCCACATCCGATGCGCTGGGCTGGGCGCGTTTCTGGGCAGAGGCCCTTTTTGGTGCTGGTAGGCACCGCTGCACCTGAGCCAAGACACAAGCCAGGCAGGCCCAAGGGGCAAGGAGTCCAGGCTGCCTCTCTGCCTGCAGGAAGCAGAGACTGACTCTGAGACACAGCGGGGCTGTGAAACTGGCTGTTCTATTGCGGGGGAAGGTCCCAATGGAGGCGCACATTTGAGACTAAAACAGTCCAGGGCAGGGAGCGGGATGCCCTCCTGTGACTCTGAGGTTCTGACAGCCTCCAAAAGGGCAATGCTGCCAGGTTCTGCCTTCAGCTGCTCCCTGTGACCGCCACTGCCCTCCCCACCCTGCCCACCTACCAGACGCGCAGGGTGGGGGCGGCTGTGAACACCCGCAGGCTGTGCAGCAGGGGTGGGGGCTTCAGAGGGCCCACGTGCAAGGGGGGCAGCAGGGGCTCTGCCCGTGGGGAGACTGACACCACGTATTTTAAGGCCTAAAACAGGAAAAACAACTGCAGGTAACATGCGCAGCGTCTTCCACACACCTGAATCAACCCACAAAGATGCAAGCGCGGGTCGCTCACCCAGCGGTCACATGCACTCCGTTTCCAGACAAGCAGCCGGTGGGCCCCAGCTGAACCCGCATCCTCGGTTACACGCAGAGACGCGCCATTTTGGCCTCCCCCTCCCCCGCGGAACCCCCACCCCCGACAAGGCACAGAGGACAGAAGGACCCTGTGACACACGTGCCACCACGCCCCTCGGGCACCCGCTCGGCGACACCCCCGGACCAGGCCCTGGTAGTGAGCACATGAGGTGGA